TACTTGGAAGACAGCCGAGAAAAGCTCCAACAAGACAGAAAATTCACTGATACGGCATCGTCCCCGCTCGGCCGGTGGCCCCACGGGGGCACGGTGACAAGCGGCCCCAGCCCCTTTCCCCGCTCCTCCGTGACAGAGCCTCCCGCTGACGGCGCCGAGCGACAGCGTGGGGCCACCCTGCGCTAAACCGACGTTCGGGGTCCGAGTACCCCCCACCAGAGCGTCCCAGCTGGAGAGGGGGGAGCAGCCTCCCATTAATTAGTGCCCAATTAAGAGATTCCTATATACATACATATACACGCGCCGGGAGACAGCAGAGGGATGAGGGAAAACTCCAAGCTGGATTTACAGGTCGGGGTTACCCGCGGCTGCGGCCGAAGAGGAGTTTGCTTGAGACCAGTGAGACTCAAGTGTCGGGAGGAAAAGTCCAATGGTCAGGAGGTGGCTGGAAGCGAGTTAAAAAATAATAGGAAAGGGAAATAATAGGGAAAGGATAAAAAAATAAAAATTGATATATCCAATGCCAACCAACCCGATAGACATGGTGGAAGCCTGCTGTCATTTCTGCGAAAATACGAAAAGGGTTTTCTGGTTTCAAGTGTAAAAATTCCAAAATACTCCCAAACCAGAAGGAAAAACAAAACAAAACCCCATAAAACCAAAGAACAACCCGCCCTGCACCAGTTTCTCCGTTAAAAATAAAACGCCAACAGAAGAGAGCCACGAGCATAAGGACAGTTTTGTCCTGTGAAGTCCGTACCGCAAAAGCCCTGGGCAAAGCCGCTGTAGGCACCTCCCTCCCCTCCCAAGCCCCCGATACGACGACGATATAAAATCCTCCCCCGCGCGACCGTCCCTGCCGGGCAGTAAGTGCTATGGGCTGCGGGAGGAGGAGGCGGCGGTGGCACTGCCCGGGCCGAGGCCGAGGGGCAGCGGGGGGCTGCGTCCCCCGCATTTGCTGGGGGGAGTCCCGCCACAGAAAAGCAAAAAGTTATTTTCGTTTTATTTTTCGGACACCCAAGCTCCCGCCAGCGAAAAACCTGATCTCTGAGGCAGATCTGCGCTGGGAAGGGCCGGGGGCGTCCGATGCTACACCCCGGTTTCGGGGGGGACGAACCCGAACACCGCACCCCGATGCCGACCCCGGATGGCTTGGTTTGACATTTCCTGAGTGATTTTGTTGGGAGCCGAGTCGTGTCCGGCCAGTGCCAGCACGGATCCGGCTCTGCCCGACACCGTTTGGGGCAGAAAGGGCGTAAAAAGCAAGAATTAAAATCTCCGGCCCTGCCTGGGTCTGCTCTGAGTCGTGGGGGCAAAGGCACAAGGTCTGAGGAAAGCACAAATTCACCCCTTTTTTTTTTTCCTTCCGTGCTCTGAGTGCTGCTTTGAGCCCTGTTTTTTAAAAAATATTTGGAAAATGAAAATGCAGAGAGCCGCCACCATCTCCGGCCTCACCGAAAACCTGCCCACACCCCGGCATCGCAGGGCTCTTCCCCGAAAGGATAAACAGGCTGAGCTCCGCAAGGCGACGCAGGACCGATAACGCCGGCTCGGCCATCCAAACGCTGGCGGTCAGACAGCAGCAAAGGCGCGGGGGCTTTTTTATTTTAAAAAAATACCTATTTTTTGAGTAGTGCAACAACCCCACCACGCAATTAATTGTTACCGGGGCTGTGGATGCAGAGCACCAACCTGTAACGCGCTTTGGAAAGTCATTCTTGCAATAAAAGCTGGGAACCTGCAGATGCCGGCAGGAGAGGAAAAGGCTTTTCCCGACATTTTGCTCCCAACGCCGTGCTCCAGCAGGGATGGGAGCCCGAGCGAGCGGCTCTCAAGGAGCAAAACCTCTTCCCTTCCCCGGGATTTGAGCCGGTCCTGCCCAGACCCACCCAGGGATGGAACCCCGCGGGGTCGCACCCTCCCCGGGGAGGTTTGCTCCTGCTTTCCAGCGGCCAAATTTTGCATCCACCAGTTGGATACCAGAGAGAAGATCAGGTTACGGGATGATATACTGTTTGTACGTACAAAACTACAAATGAACAACAACAACAACAAAATACCTAAACATGTCGACAAGCACCAGCAACACGTATATATGTATCTCAACCCGCTTCGCCTGCCCGCCCGATCCCGTCAACAACAGGGCTCGCAGGGATTCAGGAGCGATATCGGATTCTCCCAGCCACTTGATTTGCTTTTCAATGGGAAGCTGAGCCTCAGCGCGGGGTCGTTAAAACCACCCCGGGCTCAAGCCGCGTGCAGGGATCGCTCTCGGCTCGATGGCTGCGGGTTACGGCCTATGATTATCAAAAACGCAGCAAAAAAAAGAATACAAATCCAAGTGGCTGCCTGCCCCAGCAGGGGGAGGGGAGAAAGCAGAGGGGGCAATCCGGCTCCCCGGCCCGACACGAAGCGCAACGTCCCGCCAGCGATGGCGGTGTCGGTGCAACAGCTGCGACAGAGATGGGAAACCAGCAGCAATTCGGGTTGGGTAAATACATATCTTAAAGGATGGAAGTCAGAAAACTGACTCCCACCAGGCTGGATGGGATTCAAAAGCAAATATTGAAGTGTCTTGCTGAATTGGGGCCATCTGGTGATGCTAAGGGAAAGCCCTTCCCAGTCCTCCCAGCTGCCTTTACTGGTGGAATCATTAAATAGAAAAATAAAATCGCTCAGCCTAGTTTTGAAAGACCTGGCGAGGGCCACAACATAGGTTTTCATGGAGCTAAGCAGGCTTACGAAGCCTAAAATGAGAAGGAACACGAGGTTTTGCCTTAAAAATTCTCGTAGTATTCCTGATGGAAATGTTTTGGGTGTTTTCCCCCCCAAATGCCTCCAAAATCGACGCGCTGGAACCGACTGGAGGAACGCGCAGGCTCGAGCTACCGGTGTGATGTGACACGAGCAAAGATCGCATCCACGCAGGGAGAGAAACCTCCGACTCCTGCCCCAAAAACCGCTCCTGCCTTGCTTGCAGCAACCCAACAGCATTTCTTTTTTAAAGCTATAATTGTTACTGATCCCCTCCCTTAAAGGGTACAAGGGATTTGCACTTTCTAGGTAGTCAAAGGACGCGGGAAGCTGCCTCGCCCCAGCCACGCTGCGACAGTTTGGGAGATTTTAGGGCTGATCTGGGAAATGCAGGAAGCTCTTTGGTCCCCAGATCACCTACAACCTCCCCTGAACCCCGAGGAACCGGCTTCCTTCCCGCCCAGCCCCAGCTTTTACCGTACAAACGGAGATATTCTTCAGGTTTAAAAAAAAAAAAAAAAGAAGAAAGTTGGAAAAAGTTTTTTTAAAAAAAGAGCAAACCCAGCAGATGTACAATATACAGAAGGAATTTACAGGCAGCTCTGGAGGTGTCTTCTGGGGTCACAGGAGGTACCTCCAAGGTCCCTGGTTGCAGCAGTGAGGGACTCCGGTGCTCCCCGGGCAGGAGCAGGGGAGGGATGCGGCACCGCGGTGCTGCGCTCAGTCCAGGAAGCGCTGGCAGGCTTTTTTCCACCGACAGGCTGTGCACCACTGGTCCCGGTGCTCGATGCCATAGACCTTACGGCACTTTTTGGCTTCACCGCGGACTTTCCTGCAAAAGGGGGAAGAGAAGAAATAACATTTACCCACTCACTGCAGAATTTCGGTCGCGTATCTAAGGGTAAGGCCCCGTAACCACGGCTGAGCATTGTTCTGATGCATCTCAGCATCCGTTTTTCTGACGGGCTCCACCTCTGCTCCCCTCCGGGACCCTCACCTGGTGCCGATGGACACCCTGGGCGGCGAGGCGACGATCAGGTGGGACTTGAGCATCGGCGTCGGTGGCTGGGGTTCGCTGAAGCTGAGCGATCGGCTCCGCACCTGCGGGGAATCGGGTGTCAAAGGGACGACGCAGTCGCCCTCCCGCATGGCCCCCGGGTGCTGCGATGGGGCAGCGGGAGACACGGGTGTCCCCAGCCCACGAATCCGGATGTTTAAACCAAGGAGAGAGAAAGCAGAGAGAAGGTCCCCATAGCTCCCAGCCCGACCCCAAAAGGATGAAGGGGAAACGCAGGCGGGACTCACCGGTGACAGGGAGGGGAGAGTCGAGGTGGCAGTGGCCCAGCTGATGCTGGTGAAGATGTGGGGGGACACTGGAATTTGGATCGAGGGCAACGCCTGTGGGGGGCCCACGAGCATTCACCTCCCTGAGACGACCATTCTGGAGTACCCGCAAACTGGGAGCACTGGGGGTGGGATGAAAATCCCCATGCAACCGCTCCTCCAGCGCCAGATCCTGCTAACACGAGGCACAACACACGCACCGTGTCACCCTTTGCCGGGGCGCAGCAGCTTCTTCACTCCCGCAACTGCTTTTGGTTGCAATACCAAACCACATGCACCACCCTGGTCTATACGTATATATTTTTGCACCTATTTACATAGCCCTTCTGCTTTTAGATGATGTCGCATCCGTTCCCTGGCATGGGAGTGGATATACGTGCAGCTTATGGATCTATATAGCCTGTCCCTGTGCCAGCTTGCAGCTCCCACGCAGCACTTGGCTCTCAAGCGGGGTCAAGGACCACCGAGCCAGGGTGCCCCTGTAGCCACCGCACCGCGTCCCAAGGTTTCCTGTGCCTCAAAAGCCCGTGCCCCAGTGAGCGAGCGTGCAGCGGAGACGTGCAGGATCCGGCACGGCTGCATTCCAGCCCCACGTTATCTGCCGTCAGAAGGGCGTGTTGCATACCAGCACGGGGTAATTGCAGGGGAGCAGAGGCCAGCAGCTCCCCCCCAGCCCGGGAACAGCCGCGGCAGAAGCACACGAGCTCCTTAACCAGGCGTTAACGAAGCCAGTTGCTCAAGGGCTGAAGGGCAGCCAGGCAGGGGACGGTGCTACACCGGCACCAAAGCCTCTCCACGCTGAAAGGGTGGCAACAAAACGTCCCTGCCACAGCGGGGACTTGTGGAGCAAACCGGATCACAACCTGCCCTTCGGCAAGATTTCGGGAGGTGACCCGTCCCCGGGAGACGCCACCAGCTCACCTGGTAGGCGTGATCAGCCTGGATGTGCCAGAAGGAGCTGGGGGCAGACTGGCTCAGGGCGCTGTTGGCCAGGGCGGGCTCCAGCGCCGGCTGCTCCACCAGCAGCGCCTCCGGCTTCGCCAGGGCTTGCTGGATGATGATGGGGGCGGACGCGGATGTGGGGCTGGTGGCGGCAGCCGCCTCCGGCGCTGGCTCTTCCTTCACCTGCACTTCGGTGTAGTAGAAATCCTCCTCCCGCTTCCGCTGGTCGGAGTCTGCACCGTCCCTGCCGGGGAGGAAAAGGGGACGGCGGTGAAAAGGCGGCCCTGTTTCCATCAAGGTGAGCGGCCCCCGACTTCCCTGGGGGAGAGTGATCTCGTCCTCCCGGGCAGAGCAGCTCCACTCCCAGGCTCCAGAGCATCACACTGGCTGCGATCAGCAACAGCCGCTGCATCTGCGGCAGCACTTCGCACTTCCAAGGAAGATCAATACCTCTTCCGGGGCCTTTAAAAATGCTGGCACGCTGGGCGCCACTGAAAATCCCCTGCTCATTTCTAATCGAGTTCATTTAACACAGCTGTGACCGAAGCCCTGCGGTTCACCCAGCAGGAACCAGCCTCTGAAGTCTTTTTTTATTATTTTCCCAGTGCGTTTATCCGGCACTGGATGGCAGTCCAGCACTGCCCACTGCGCCACGGCCCTTCTGCCCTCTCCTTTCCGAGAGCATTCACGTTTGCAAGGGAGGAGGAGAAAAAACACATACCGCAAAATATGGACAAAAGCATGAGAAAACAAGGTCGGGGTGAGGAGTGCAATGGGGCCGCAGGAGGAGAGCATAGCAAAGCTGATCCTCACGCCCTCACCGCTTTGTATTTTGGGGGGAATTCATAGGAGATCAGGACAAAGCAAAGCAAACTGCCAAAGGGGCGGCTGCCGCCGGGCTGGCACGTGGGTGCCCACGCCAGCCCCGATGGCCGAGCTGGAGCCAGCCGCCGCAGCAGTGGGCACGGCTTGCAGGCTGCCAGCCCTTGCGAAACCCAGCTGGGCTGGGCTTTTCTGCGTCTGCCCCGGAACGCAGGGCTCCGTAACCTGAACCACCCCCCCCCCGGTGCAAAACGCACACCCAAGCTGGGCAGTCCCGAAGCCCAAATGGGGCTCCCGTGCCTCCCAGAAAGCCCTGGGCTCCCTGAAGGTGAGGACACATACAACAGCGGCTTCAGTGACACAGATTGCTTGGCTGAGAACTGCCAAGCTCAGTGCACAGAGGCCGGTGTCTCCGATACTGGGGATATTTGCTGCAGGAATTATGAATTACGCAGCAGCAGGGCGCACGGCTTCGGTGGTCGGGCAGGGATTGAGGAGGTGAAATCTTCGCCTTACCCGAGGTGCTGGGTCTTGACGTGCCGCTTGATGCCGACGATGGAGCGCAGGACCTTGCCGCAGCTCGGCCACAGGCACTTGTACATCACCTTCACCGAGTTCTGGCGGAGAGATGGCCTGTGTCACCCCCTGCCTGGTGGCAGTGTCCCCTCCATGGGACACCGGCTCAGCTTGAGCCACCCTGCCGGCACTGGGACCCCCACCACGGCAGCAGTACCTTTCTCTTGCGCGGAGCGGGTTCATCGAGGAGAAAGGGATCGGAATCGGTCTCGAAGCCGTCGTCTGCCTGGGGGGAGCTCAGGGCCTCGCTGGAGTACTTGGGGCTGCCTGCGGGGTGGGGGGGCGAAGGGGCGGAGATGTCGCTGCCCCCACTCCAGTGCCCGCTGGTGGTGCTGCTGCCGCTGTCCGAGACGTCGCCGCTCTCCTTCCAGGGATCGCACGCTGCCCGTGAGGCTGTGGGGAAGGGACACGCGCTGCCGCCGTCAGCTCGGGGCCAACCAAACCCCACCCCAGGGCAGAGACCAGCCCTGAGGCTGGATAACCCGCAACAACAGTTTGCCTCTATTTTTTTTAAAAAATAAATAACTTGGCAAGGTGAAGCCTTGGCACCTTTGCTCAGCGCCAGCTCCCAATTATTGGTCGTTTATCCCTTTCTTCCCCCCTCCCCATCCTCCTTGGCATCGGTGCAACCCCACGGGCATAGCCGGCACATGGCGAGCTGCCAGCACCGGGGCACGCACATTTCCCATGGCTCCGGGCGGCTATTTTTATCCCTCCGGCTGCATTTGACTCCTCGGGAATGAAACTGCCTCTAAAAAAAGGAGCGACCGGGCGGTGCTCCCCGACCTGGGACTCCTGCGCGGGGCTCCCCGGTCCCCCGGGATGGCTGCGGAGAGCAGGGTTACCCTCACCACACTGCCAGGGCTGTCCCGGCTTGCTCGGCACCAACCGGTGCCAGCACCTGTGGGTTCCACCGCGACCCTGGTGCTGCTCCCTGGCCACCTCCAGCCCAGTATGGTCCCTGTCCTGGCACTATTTGGCACCCGGCAAAGTACCTCTGCAGCAAGCAAGAGCGCTGGCACTGAGGTCCAAAGGGCACAGCACATTTTCCCACATCTCCTTTTGTTTAAGATGATGGTTTTTTTAAAAAAATATAGATGAATATTTTAAATGCACACTCACGGGGGATGCTGCTCTCGCCAGCGGGAGGGCTCTGCACCACAGGGCTGCAGGAGAGGCTCGTCAGCACCATGGCTGCCACCATCTCGTCCATCTCCACGGCGGCATCGGCTTTCCTGCAGCGCGAGGGGAGAGATGTGAAACGCATGGAGGAAAAAGCAGAGAAGCAGCCCGGGTACGACCCGGGAAGTCACCGGGCACTCAAAGGGCAGCACAACCTGCAGCAGCAGAACCCCACCGCCTCCCTCCATAAACTTTGAGTCACTTTTAAGTCATTGGGAAGGATGTTTTCTCCCCATTTGGAGGAAAAAAAAAAAAAAAAATTACAAATCCCCTTAATCCTAAATTTAACCATCCTCCAGATAATCCCGCGCTGGGAAGGCGGATATATCCCCAGCATCACCGCTCTCCCTGCTGGTGTAAAACAAAGCGCGAGTGCTGCCAGAGCCACCAAGAGCCCCTCTCCCGCCTGAGTGAGATACCACCAGCCAAAGGCACAAACCTCTTGGGTACATCGATATTGCTGGATACGGATCTCTGCAGCGCCTCAGTAGGGCTGGGACCACCAGCGGTGGGCAGGGCGGGGGGCTGGAGAGCAGCCGATTGCATGTCCTGCACCCTCCAGCACGCCTGCAAGCCCTGCTCCGGCAGCAGCACCTTCACCTTGTCGCTCAGCGGGTTGTGCTGCTCCACGAGGCCGGCGCACTCCTGCCCGTTGTAGGTGACGACGACCTGAAAACGGCACGAGGCGCGGTTTGTCGGTGCCACCCGCCACTCCCGGGGGATGTCCTGCTGCAGCACAAGCAAGCCTTCGCCTGCTGCAGGATCCCCCCTCCTCCTCCTCCCGCAGCAGAGGGGGCCACAGAGAGCTTTAGGACAAAGGCAGAGCCTGAAGGGCTTGGACTTCAGACTGCTGCCACAGCAAAGCAGAGGGGTGGCCAGGGTTCATCCCAACACCACCGCCAAGAGATCTGCTCTTCCCAGGCACAAGCTCCCCGACTCCGCCAATCCCAAGCGGAGGGACTTCCTGAGCCGCTATCAGCCGCCTCTGAGTGTCGTGACTTTGGGGGAACTTTTCTCCAATGAATTGGTCTGCTTTGGCTTTGTTCTCATGCCATCCTGCTGCAAGGACTCCTACAATTATTACACACCCTGGCAAAGCACGTAGATAGAAGGAATAAAAGCCGGAGGGGGACAGGGGGAATGGAGGTTTCCCAGGTGAAGCGATCCTGAATTCACACCTGGGCTCCTCCAGCTCCTTTGGGCAGGGGAAGGTGGGGTGCAAACCTCACCTCCTCCTTCACAGAGTCCCAAACTCCTTCTGATGGGCAGTTTTCCACCACTACCACCCATGAGCCTATTTCTGTTAATGGAAACGTATCTGTGGCAAAAGATGCTACATGTGTCTCTGGCTATTTACAGGAACAGGAACATCTCCTTATGGAAGCGCCACGGGCGTCATACCAAGAAGCTGACATGGGATGGACATGCACACCCATACTCTGGCTGGGGAGAAGCCTGCGAGACCATCTCAGGTGGGACCTCCAGCAGGAACACCGGGGTGGAAAAAGCCACCCACAGGGTTAAGGGGATCAGTGGAAGGATCAGGGCACAGAAGACCCCGACGCCACTTTCTGAAAACAAGAAGCAAGGCTTCCCCGTGAACCACACAGGCCGTCCCCCAGATCATGCACAGCACAAGGAGCCAACAACTCCTTTGGCTTTGCACAGGCACCAGCACAGGTCCCGGCTGTCACTGGGGGGTGAAGGCACCCCATCACTATTTTTATGCCGTTCCCAGCAGCAAAGCAAGCAAGCAAAATCCTCCACAGCAGAGCACATAGGAGAAAACGACTCTCACTGCCCTGTGGTTAATAAACACGGGGCAGGAGGAGCCAGAAAACTGAACAGGGGCCTTATTTACACTCCATTTCACAAGCTCTGCCCAGAAAAGGTTTTACAGTTCTGCAGGTAGCAGCCAAGAAATGGGCTCTACGTCAGCAGCTCACGGCTCCCCTCGGACAGTGCTGCTTGGCCAGGCGTTAGCGGGAAGCGTTCCAGTGGGATCGAGAACGAGTGCCGTTCCCTGCCCCAGGCAGCATCGGGAGCACGGGGCACAAGAAATGGCGGGGTCCAGCAGCACTAGATGTCCTTTCTGGACGAGCCATCGCAGCTCACCCTTCCCTAAGGGTTACAGGGAGATAGGAGAAGTTCATGGAAGAGAAGTCCACTGGGAGTCACTAAATGTACAGAAACCATCTCCCTTAGCCTCAGACAGTTGGAGAACACTGGAGGGAAGCGGCAAATCTTCTTACCCTCTTCTCTGGAGACCCGCTTTTGGCTAGGACTGGATACATCTCCCAGAGGAGATGATCTCCGCTTGAGCTGCTATGGTCCCAACCCATCAGGTACAGCCAGGGCCAGGTGCACCAATGCCAACACTCATTAACGACTCTCGGTAATTACAGATCCCCACTGCACCTTATGTTAGGAGGGCCTCAGTTTTCTCCCCCACCGGAGCGCATCCCACAGCCAAAGGCACCGAAAGCCTCCTTACGTACTTGCTGCCCGGCGCAGAGCTGCTGGCAGCCGGGGCTGGGGAACCTGGGTGCCTGGCTGCTCTCCTCCATCGACGGTGCACAAGATCCGTCCTCTCGTGGCGCTGTGTGGGCAGACGCCCGGCTGAGGTTGGTCTGCAAGCCGGGGATCTGGGTGGCCACCAGCACCCCCTCGGCCAAGGCGCTGGGGGCAGAGACGCGGGTGCCTAGCAGGGAGCGCTTCCCCAGGCGCCTGGACAGCACGCTCGCCATCTCGGACACGCTGCGGAAGAGAAAGACACAGGGATGTTACCTCCGGTGAAGGACCACAACGTTCAGCTGCTGTCTTCCCGCCACCGCCACCCTGGGAGCCGAGAAAGCAGCTCTCCACTGCTCCGGCATCCCCAGGTGCTGAGACCCCTTGGGGACATGGGGACAGCGGTGTGCCTGAGCTCCTCCCGCCCTGCAGCTCTCGTCTTTATGGTCATTTCTAAACCCCTCTGGAAAAAAAAAAAAGAGATGAGTCAGCCCAAAGGAAACCCCGTGGACACAGTCAGGACAGCCCTTGGAGTCCACGGCCCCCCCTGACACTGCCCCCGGTGCACGCTCCCGAGGCCACCGCAGCTATTCCCGCCCGTCACGCTGAAACCCGCCGTCAGTGCTCTTCAACCTTGACCTCTAGACTTGGGCCCATGCCCGGTGCAGTCCTGCAATTCCCCTGCCCGCGCTCCAGCAGAGGAGGAACGCTCTCCGGCAGCAAAAACTACCGCCCCTTCTCAGCCTGCACCCCGATGTTCCCCCTTTCCGAGAGCTATCGTGCTTTTGGGAGAGGTTTCTCCCAGCTCATGCCCAGCCCTCCAGGGTCAGTCTGGCAACAAACCGGGAGCATCCTCCTGCCCTGTTTTGTTAGAAAAGGAAGAATTTGGAGCATTTTTATCCTGAACTGTTTCTCCATAACTATCTTTAACCTACTTTTGCCCCCCAAATAGCTCCCTTTTCCTCTGACATAGGTTTTCCTCATGTTGGTGTGGCTCTGCTAGCAAGCCCATCCAGAAAGCAGCTTGCCTGGCTCATTTGTTTGGGTTTGTAGATTTTACTGCTGTTTTAAAAGACACAAGTGTTTACAGGTTTCCTTATAAGCAAGGGACACCCAGGCATGGGGACAGATGATGCACCCAGCCCCGATAAATCCAACAGCTCCAGCAGCACTTGCCATCCTCCTCCCAAAGTATCCTCTGCTACAACACCCTCACCGAGGAGAGCGGGAAGCGAGGATGCACATCGTGGCGAGGCCGAAGGGTGACAGCGCCTGGGGTTCAGGAGGAGGAAGAGGAGGCAAGAGGCTTGGTGCAGCCCCGTGCCTCAGAGTGCACCGAAAAAGCTCCGTGCTTTCGCACCGCCAACGAACCCATCACCTTTGCCACCCTGCCTGGGCTTGTCAGCGAGCGTCACCCGGCCGGCCGGGGGCTGCGGGTGTTTGTTGGGTGTCTGGGTTGAAGCGCAACCTGCGCCACCGACAGTCCAAGTCCAAGGAGCTGCTGCTTGTGCAAGAGGGAGGATTAACCCCGAGCCACCGGGCAGTTGCACCCAGACCCTCCCCTCCTTGCGCAGGGTTGCCGCAAGAGATGCTCGGTTCCCCGTCACGAGGCAGCAGCATTTTAACGGCAGATCAAATATACATTGTTTTTTGACAACTGATTTACGCAGCACTGTCTTGCACACTATCTCAGGTGAGAAAAGTTTCCCGAGGAAGGGAAGGGGAGCTCGCTGCTCCTCTCGACTTCCGACCGTCCTGGGAAGGGTTACTCCAAACCACGTCCCGCTTCAAAGGACGCCCAAGATTTACAAGCGGTTTTATGAATAACCGTATGCGCTCAGCTCACTTTGTCCTCCCCCGAAATCCAGCCATCCCCGAGTAGAAAATTAACAGCTATTTAGGAGCCATAAAGAATAGAGCAGCAAGAGCGGGATAGGCTGTGAAATGGATGGAGGCGTGCCGGCGAGAGCACCTCGCGCCAGGACTGCCCGACCCGCAGCGCACGGGGACTTTGCCGCCGCCGTCGCCACCTTCCCTCCAGAGCAGGATCAAAGAGGCCGCGGCGGCTGGCTGAGCAGCGCCGCTCCCCCGGCTTCCCTCTCATCTCGCCCTGCCTGAGGAACATGCTGGATTTTGCAGCGTACGGGCATCACCGGGGGGACGCTCCGGAGCCCACTCCATCTGATAATGTCTTTTTTCCACGGTGCAACATGTTTTCTGATGAACACGAGCGACCTGGCCAAGCAGCCCTGCTCCCAGATCTCCTATATACCCGTACGGGACTTCCTCATCCAAAAGGAGACCGAAAGGCTGGCGGGGGACACCCACGGCGGTTTGCCTCAAATCCCGGAGCGAAGCTGCGGCAAAGCCCCTCCACCTCACCGCAGGAATTAACCACCAGACCACGTTTCCTCCCGCATCACCTTAAAACCTCGCTCTCAGATATCCCAGGCGCCGGGGTTTGGGAACTGCCCTTCCAAGGGCTCGGGGAGTCGATGCAGCAACGCCGGTGCCGCCACCGCATAGAAAACGGCGCCGAATCTCCGCCGCTGCCTCCCCGACGGTCGGCGCACGCCGGTTTCAAGGCAGCGCTTGGCTGGCGGCCAGGTGCGGGGAGGGCAGCGCTGAAGGTGGGAGGCTGCTTCTCATTTCCTTCGGGGTTTCATTTCGCCTTCCCTTTCCTTCCCCCTCCAGTCCAGGGAGGGGAGCGGGAAGGAGAAGAGAGGCGCGCTTGCAACCGGGGGAAGGAAAACCCTCCCAAAAGCCAGTTTTTGGAGCCACATCTGCTTCCAGCAGACCTTTGAATGCCGGGTCCCATTTTGGCGCTCAGCCCATAGCCGAGGGTGCAATGCCAACGCCGAAAAATCCTTCCCCCGCCGTGCCCCAAAACACAAAGCAAGAAGAGGAGCAAGAGCTGGGAGGGCGTCAGCGGTGCAGGCGGAGCCGGGAGGCCACGCTGCCGCTGCGAGCCCTCCCAGCTGTTAGCAATCACGCGCCGCAGGGGTCAGAGCCGGCACAGATCCCAAATTATTTCTTGCTTCAATGCCGGGCGTGTATTTTGGACGGCGTTTTTCCAGCTCTCGCCGGGGAAAAAACATCAGCCCTTGTGCCTACCGGCGTCGCTGCTGCTGCCGGCAGAGAAAAACCCGGGTGGAGGTTTGGGAAAGCAGGCGCCTGGTTTGGCAAACGAGGAATGCTTCCTTTAGCGAGCGGGGAAGGTCGGGGGGCTGCGGCAAAGCGGGGAGGCTGCCCCGGTGCTCACCCTGGCTGCTGTTTGTCCGGGGTTTGCTGGGAGAAAGGCAGCTCCTGCGCCCATGGTGCTGTACAAACCAGGACCACCGGCACAAATCCCCTCCCCAGAGAATGTGCAATTACAGCGCACCCCATTTTTTTAGGAATAAATGCTGGTAGGTTCCCTCCAACCCAGCCTAACTCCTGCCACAGACCACCATGCCACGGATCAGCAACTCGGACCACAAAGTCCACCCTATAAAAGACTCTAAATGCTGCAGTAAGTGATAACAAACCTCAGTTTTTCATCTTCTCTCCCAGCCCACTGTTTCCAAAAAGCCCTTTCTCATCCCAAAATGTCCCAAAGCCCTTTACAAACCACACTCCAGCCCTGCGCCCGTTGGCGCACGTGACCGGGAAACAAGATATCCGCATGGAGCGGTTTGCAAAGTTTGGGCCTTTATTAAAAAAAAAAAAAAGGAAAAAAAAAAAGCAGCAACAGGGATCTACTGACCCCGAGACAGAGCCAAACCCACCCACGACCTAACCCTCATGGACAATAATACAAAACAGGCGCCTTCCCAAAGAGTTTCCTCCTAATCCCGCCTCGGTGCTTGCTGCTCGGGCTCTGCCCGCGGACGTGTCACCGTATCCCCGCCAGCAGTGCCGGGAGGGCTCCCCAACCCTCACCCCGCCATGTCACCCATGCCGGGCGTTTGCCACGGCTGGGCGATTACGGAGGAAAACGCTTTTGGGGAACACCCGCCTGCCTAAAAATGAGTTTTCCAAGGCAGGCAAGAATGCCGGCGCAGGCAGAGCAACTTTCCCGGGCATCAGCGGGCCAGTGCGTGCCAGTGGTGAGGGCAGCCAGGAAGGAAAGGGCGGGAGTTTGCTGCTTTCTGGGAGCAGTGCTGGCAGAGCGTGACTTGAAGCCACGGTGCGGGCACCGGGACAAGCATGCAGCAGGAGCGAGGGCATGCATGTGTGCATGTACATGCGTGTGCATGTGTACATGCATGCGTGTGCAGGGCCCGCGGCCGTGCAGGCTGGCAGGGCACGTGGGGAAGATGGCAGGACCGGAGGCAGGCGAGGGGGGAGGCGTGTGCCCGGGCCTGCCGCGGAGGGCGG